GTCAAGTCGTATATCCATTCCGTGACCCAGGAGTCCCAGATACGGGAGTCGGCTAGGGCTTACTTCCACTCTCTCTTCTCCTCTGAGCGGGATTTGCTTACGCACCCCGACCTGGCCCTCTTTCCGACCATCCTACAGTCGGTCGACCTTGTTGACCTCTGTGACCTCCCGAGTAAGGAGGAAGTCAGGGAGGCTGTGTTTGGGATAGATCCCTACAGCGTCTCCAGACCGGATGGTTTTTTGTCCCTCTTCTTCCAGTCTTGCTGGGAGATCGTGGGTACTGACGTAGAGGAAGCTGTGAGGGATTTTTTCTCTGGCCACCAGATGCCAGAGTCCTTCACGGCAACCTCCATCATTTTGATCCCGAAGAGATCGGGACCTAGCACTTGGTCTGACTATAGACCTATCAGCTTATGCAACGTGACTAACAAGATCATTTCCAGAATCCTCAACAGTCGCCTCGCCCCTCTCCTCCCTCACCTTGTCTCTCCGAAGTAGAGTGGATTCATCAAGGACCGAGTCATTAGTGATAATATCCTACTGGCTCAGGAGATGATACACGACATCTCTCATGCGAATCGAACACGAAGCCTGAACCTCGTGCTGAAGCTAGACATGGCCAAAGCATATGATAGGGTCGAGTGGTCATTTCTCAGAGAGGTACTGTCTCGGATGGGATTCCCTAACCATTGGATTAGCTTTGTGGAGGCGTGTGTGGAACACTGCACATTCTCCGTTTTGATTAATGGTAGCCCCACGACCTTTTTCCCTTCTACCCGCAGCCTTCGTCAAGGGGATCCCTTATCCCCTTCCCTTTTTGTTCTAGTGGTTGACTATCTCTCTCGCTGCCTTGACGGCTTCATTCGCGATTTTCCGAGGATGACCTACAGCACGCGTGGATGTGGGCCTTCCATTTCCCACCTTTCTTACGCGGATGACATTATCATTTTCACTCGTGCGAATGATAATGGGCTAGTTGCTCTCATGAGTCTTTTGGACCACTACAGTGAGACATCTGGTCAGCTAGTCAGTGTTTGTAAGAGTACCTTTATCATGGACCACCATGTTGCAGACCATTGGGCCCACCAGATTCACGAGCGTACTGGATTTGCTCGTGGGGACTTACCCATCCCTTACCTTGGGGCCCCCTTGTACAAAG